GTAAGCAACATTAGCAAACCATCCAAAGCAGAACATGTACCTATCTATTGACTTGAGTATACCTAAGGACTTATGAGTTTGCATAATTGCACTGKAGTTTATTTCTTTTCAGGAACTTGAGAACATAAAAGATATAAAAGATTTAGTAGAGACAGAAATATTGTTATTGCTTTCTGCAGGAATAAGTGTATGCTTTTTGCTGTTTATCTTCTTTTCTCATAACAAATATTGTAAATGAGAAATAAATATTGAAATGTTGCATAGCAGTAYATCTCTTTCAAAAGAAAGTGATTTTAAATTTTGACCTATCCTTTGGACAACTTTGGATTAAACTCAGAAGAACAAGGCATTTTGATTATTCCTTAGTTCGGTAAAAAGTAATCCATAAATGGTGTGCCTTTAAGAATTCCCTTGTAGTCTTTTGTAGCAAAAAGATTAAAAGGATTGTTGTGAATTGCTAAATATAAGGAAAAAACTCACTTTTCTGACGTATTCCTACAAAACAATGACAGTAAAGTTCATATGTTTGTTTGTGTGTATGTGTGTATATATACACACACACACACACATATATATATAGTAAATAGAGAGAGTGGCAGTAAAAATGCCTGTAATGAAAATGTAAGTTTGAGAATGTGAAGTTTGCTCTGGTTTAACTTCAAATGCATTTTCAGTAGTTTACTGGTGCCGTTTATTATGTTTACTCTCTGCTTTGGAAGAAGATATCACCAGTCAATTGAACAGCATGCTTAATACATGTTAAGCACACATACTGTGTCAATTGACAGATTGAGAGAGGGAATGTCTAAAAAAAAAAAGAGAGAGAAAATGCTTTGTGTAGGAAATATTCAATGAGATAGGAAGAAAGGAAGACAAAATATGTACTCGGTTACAGTCCTAATGCACAGACAGATTTTGAACTTTCTGTATGTTTGTGCTGGTGCAACTTGGAGTAGGAGTCTTATTTAAAAAATTATCTAAATTATTGTTAATACACAACGGACAGGTCTATTGGTCCATTGGAAGCAAGGATAGGTCCCCTGGGAGAAATACTGGAACGTTGTCAGGGAATGCAGGGATGTTGCAAGGAAAGCTAAGGCACACTTGGAATTAAATCTGGCAAGGGATGTTAAGAGTAACAAGAAAAACTTCTTCAAATATATCAACAACMAAAGGAAGGTCAGGGAGAAYGTRGGTCCACTAGTGAAGGGGGTGGGTACCCTGGTTACAAAAAACACGGACAAAGCAGAGCTGCTGAATACCACCTTTGCTTCTGTGTGTGTCTGGGGCAGCCCTCTAGAATCTCAGGCCCTAGGGACACAAGAAGAGAGCCAGAGAGAGGAAGGCTTGCCTTGGGGAGAGGAAGAGTGGGTCAGAGAGCATCTAGGGAGACTCGACATCCACAAATCCATGGGATGCACCCTAGAGTGTTGCGGGAACTGGCAGATGTCCTAGCCAAGCCACTTGTCATCATCTTCGGCAAGGTCCTGGAGAACGGAGGAGGTGCCGGARGACTGGAAGAAAGCCAACGTCACTCTGGTCTTCAAAAAAGACAAGAAGGAGGACCAGGTCAACTACAGGCYGGTGAGCCTCACCTCCATCCCTGGGAAAGTGATGGAGCAGCTCATCCTGGCTGCTCTCTCCAGACACATGGAGGAGAARAAGGTGCTCAGGAGTAGCCAGCATGGATTCACCAAGGGGAAATCCTGCTTGACTAACCTGATCACCTGCTATGATGGAGTGGATAGATGGATAGATGAGGGCAGAGCAGTGTATGTCATCTATCTGGACTTGAGCAAGGCTTTTGACACTGTCCCTCACAGCATCCTCCCGGGCAAGCTCYGAAGGTGTGGGCTAGATGAGTGGAYGGTGAGGTGGATTAGGAATTCGCTCAATGGCAGGGTGCAAAGAGTGGTGGCAGGGTGCAAACAGTGGTGATCAGTGGCGCGGAGTCCAGTGAGAGACCTGTAGTTAGCGGTGTCCCCCAGGGGTCGGTCCTCGGTCCAGTCCTGTTCAACTTATTCATTAACGACTTGGATGAAGGGATGGAGTGCTCCCTCAGCAAGTTTGCTGATGATACCCAACTGGGTGGAGTAGCTAATAGCCCTGAGGGCTGTGCTGCCATCCAGAGGGACCTGGACAGACTGGACGACTGGGCGGTGAGAAATCTCATGAAGTTCAAMAAGGGCAAGTGCAGGGTCCTGCACTTGGGGAGAAATAACTAGAGTTGACTAGAACAGTGTGCAAGGACATACTATGAAGCATATGATTTTGACACACAAAGTTATAATAAACTGGGGAAAAAAGAGTGTCAATTATGAGTAACCTCAAATTAATGAGATTCAGCTCTACAGTGAAGGGCATATAGTGACTATGCCTAAGTGTAATCAACTGCTAAATAACTGGAAGTTTTGCCTAAACCAAGTGAACAGATTCTTCTCGTGTACACAGTTCTTATAGCACTGAAAATGAAGCAGTTATGTATATACTTTGTTTTATTTACTGCTCCACCAAAAGAAGAGGTTGCTGTAGCATGTTATGAAAAAGCTACCATAGCCAGCTTTGAAAACTGAAACATTGCCTAAGCTGCATGTGTTTATCAAATTTAAGCATAAAAAAGCCCAAGAAAGGGGCAGTATTAGTCAAGAGCAATGGTGACGAAAAATTGAGTATCTGATACTTATTCTTTTAGGTGCCAGTTGACCCTCAGAAGACCTTCTCATAACTTAGTGCCGTGTCACCTTGTTCTTTGATCCCATACTAATCAACATTTAGCAGAAAACTACTTCTAACTATTAAAATGAAAATTCAGCTATAGATAAAATGTTGCTAAACACATAAACAGTTTGAAAGAGAAGTCATTACAAAGGAATTGACTTAAATGTCCTTAAAGGAAAAAGAAAATACTATTTTTATAGTCTATGAGTAGAAAATCTTTTATTTAGAAGGCTCAATTTGTTCATGAGGAATACCCAGAGGGAAAAGTGTGAAAGAAAAAGAAAGGGAGAAGAAAATAAAAATCTCCTGTATGAGCCTAGAATCAAATTAAGAGCTATAATCCCATGAGCACATGCACCATTCAAGTTTTCATAAAAACATGAAATCATGCATAAGGCCTGAAAGAAACCCAGTGAGATTCAGCACAGTTGAATTTGGGATAATGAGTTCAATGGCTCTTAATGGTTATCCTGAAAGACCTACCTAGAGAATTAGAGGTATTTTTCCTGGTGGAAATGCTATGCATTACTTCAAAGCAAATCTTTCTTTAAAATGTTACAATTGTCTACCAAGAAGATGTGAACATCAACCTGCTGTCTGCAACTAACCAGTCCCCTTCACGCTGTATTCTGTATTCAGGATTGTTCATGAGTTCATCGCTAATGCTGCAATAAGTTTGGGGTGGTTGCTCCCTTACAAAGGAAAAATGTTAGTTTGGGTGGAAAAACAGAACATTTTAACAATTCCTTTTGGAATGAAGCACTGAAATTTTTGAAGAGCTATTGGCTAGATCTGGCAGAGGTTACTACTGCATGTATTGCAGCAGGGGATTGCTAGCCATGGATGAAAACTCCACAGGGTAAACAGRAATTTTTAATTTCATGGATCATTTGTAACTTGTTACACCAATTTCACAAACTCAGAAAGTTGTTCATAAAAGCTAATGAGAGAAACTAAGTGCCTTCATTTTTACTTCTTGAATATCACTGCTACTGGATCCTGGAAGTAGTAACTTCCTTTAAAAGAAAAAAAAAAARRRRAAAAAAAAAAGAATGGAACAGCTCACTTTTGATTTATAGGAAGAAAGGAGGAACTTTACATCTTTTTGCTCAAAACAGTAGTATTGTTTAGGTACATTAGATTGGTCTCTCTTTGTTTGAATTTACTTTCTTTTTTCACCTGCTACATCTTTTATTCAACATTTAGAAGTATGCTAGTATTTCATTAGATGCTTGGTTTCTTTCTGCTGTTCCTGGTTTCTGTGTTTGCATTTTCATTTGTGCTCTTATTCTCAGATTTTCATAAATACTCTTCTCCACCCAGAGTCACCAGCTAATAGTCTGTAACAATACTCACCTTTACAAATGTCAGCTATGGTAAAAAAGGAAGATTATGCCAGYGAAAGAGTGTTATAGGTTTTCTTCTCGTTGCTCTGTGCACAAGGATGAGAAGGATCTGTTATCGTCACTGACACAACTTGTCAGCTACAGACTCAGGATTATTTCCCATGAAAAAAAATTATCCTGTACAACAACTAATTAGAGAAAAATGCGTTTCCTGCTCCAAAAAGGATATGAGCAAGGACATGAAAGGTTTGATTCACAGAACATGGTAATCAAAGAGAAACTCTAATCATAGTCATTATTAGCTTGCATACCAATTCTTTCTTCAGTGAACAAAAGTTCAAAGATCAGTGTAAAGAGAGGTAGTAGATGGAACAGGCTGTGCCCTATTCTGATTCAAAATATCTGTCAGGAAGTTACTGAAGAAATTTGAACAGTGTCTTGAAGTACAATGTCCCATAAGGTACTGAAAGTTATCCACTATAAGCAGTGACCTGCACGAATGCAGATACTGCCCGGCGCTTCATAAGGTTAGACAGTACAGAATGCCTATGATAAGATTTTAATATAATTAGTGTCAACGATCACAGACTTCATTTTTTTTTTGTGACATACTGATAATAATACATACACTTTGAAAAAATCTATCAAAAAGACTAGTAGATAAATCACACTTAAGAAGATGGTATTTTCATTAGCTGTTGTGATTGTGCCTGTGCTCCTCAGTCTGCAGAATGTGTCCCAAATAATGACTAATGTTGTTTTGGCTGGCAAATCCACTGACAGGAAAATGTACCGTTATTTTTCCAAGTAACATTTATTTTCTTCTATTGCTTTTCTTCTCTTATTTTTTTCCTATCTAAAATACCAACTTAACAGTAAGAATTATTTACTGCCCTTAAAAAATGGATAGGCAATACCTATTGTGAAAACTAAATCATTAAATTTTCAGCATTCAGGTAGGTGATTGGCATAGTGTTCATTTTTTCCGTAATAAACTAAGCAGAAATTCTCTTTTAGGCTATGTGGATACTACTTTGTTTATCTTTAGTCTAGAATTCTTCCCTTTTGAAGACCCTAAATGATCTTTAATAAGTCGAACGTTAAAAGGAAAAAAGAAACATCTACAAATAATTTTATATTAGAGATAAAAAATGCAAATAAGTTAATAAACTTCTTGCAGAACCTGCAGTAGATGTTTCTTGAAAGGAAAGGAGGAAAATATGATAGTGCCTGGTTGCCATTATACATTTAATTTAACCCCCTTCTGAGCAACATATTGTGTGTCTGAAAAGCAAGCTGAGGGGCTGCATTTTAATCCCCCCTTATAATGTTTTATGATGGTGAAGCACAATAATTTTATTTTAGAAGGAGAAAGATGAGAAACAAATCAATCAAAACTTATTCTGAGGATTTGGAGCATACAGGGGCATGTTTTCAAAACAGCAGTTGGCAGTTAAGGAAGAAATTCTATTATTGTTTAATAGAATTTTTGAGCAGAATTGCCATAAACTGACTGAACACTTACAATAATTTTGGCTATAGCTGAGACAAATATTGGCAAAGTATATTTATTTAYTTATTTATTTAGTGAAAATAACATACATCCCAGAAGAGAGCTAGTCAGTCCCATCTATTACATTTTGCAAGCCACTCAGGCAATCCTTCTTAAAGCTAAAATACAAGACTAGGACTATTTTTTAGTCCAACTAAAGGATTGATCCTGCTCTTGGGGAAGAAAATGGGGCTTCTAAACTCAATGGGAAAGAGAGAAGGATGTTTATAAATTGTGAAGAAGAATGAAGGTAAATATATACATTCGTATTTTTCTCAAACCTCTCTGAATGACAACCCATAGTAGTAAGATTTCAGCTTGTAGTACCTTGTGGTCTTCAGAGGGATTTGTCCTGTTGTAGCATACTCTTGTGCTATAGGTTTGCTATTTATTAGGGAGTATAATTTTTTTATTTTTTAGTGTTTTGAAAATGCTAATGCTTATATGATCATCTACGTAGTACTTGAGCAACAGACTTAAAACCAGAAATTTGTCAACATTGGCTAGCTATTTTTAGGAGGAAAAAAATAAAAAGTGTTCCTGACTATTGGGAGTTTGGGGTGGATCATGCAGCATCTTGAGAAAGGAACTCTGCAACTGAATCTTTGATCTACATGATCCTGTCTACCTGGACAGCTGATTTAACATCTCAAAATGCAAGGAAACAATCTCCTGAGCAGAAAGGGCCTCCCTTATGCAGACCAGTTTCAAGGGGATATAGCAAATCACCCAGCACTCATTAGAGAGAGATAAACTCTTCACCTGATTCCCTCTGTTTTCTGCATTAGAGGTCATCTGTTACTATAAATTGAAATGTTGGCTGTTTCTGGCTTTCACCACAGAAGCTGGCTTGAAGCTTCCGGAGAAATTCGCATGTGAAAATCAGGGATGAGAGTTTTCAGATAGGACCAGAATGATGCAGGCTTTGGCATTTTGGGCCATAACAAGAGCTCTTCCTTTTTAATGCA